GCTGGTTTGCTCTAGAGAAAAAGATCTCAGAATTAACACCTTACTGACCTCCATGGGGCAGTAATTCATGTCTATCAGCCTGTTTATTGTGTACCCAGATGGGAACTTTTTTCCACAGTCCTGATAACTAGAAGGTTACTTTAGAAAAAGAGAAAAAAAGAGAAGAAATTCATTCTAACGCCACTGCTCACTTTACATATTCAAGCCACCCAGTTCATACTGGATTTGTGGAAGTGCGGTACTTCTCTAGGAACAAGTGGATGAAGTCACACGCCAGCTATCAAAATAAGGCCACACCCCACACCTCTATATTCTGTGTAAGAGAGCTCTCCACCCATTCCCAGGGTATCCCACCTTTCTTCAGGAGAGCAGTTACTCTCTTTTCAGCCCAGAGATCCTCCATGCTTCTTTCTGACTTTTTTCCTTTTTTCTATTGACTGTTCCATGCATCCTGTTCTTTCGTGCTGAATCCTCTCCCTTCCCTTCTTTCCCTGATGTCCCCAACAGCAATTCAGATGGCTTTATGTAAAATAAAGTAAAATTAAAAAAACTGCCAAAAGTGGGTTGTATTCATCCTCACCCCTCCAGCCTTCTTCCTCCCTTCCCCATTACAACTCTCAGCATCCATTGTCACGCTTTATCGCCACTGCAGTCCCAACCTCTCCAGTGCTCTCCTTGTTGCTGCTCTCTCCACACCCCCACAAGTCCCCTGGTGTGTGCCTGACGAGTGTCTGTTCTGCTTATTCAGGGTGTGCAGGCTTCGTGCCCAATTTCTGTGCAGACTGTCCAGCTTGGGAGTGCAACACTGCTACGTGGCTGGCCGGCCTGAGCTCACAGATCTGGGCACTCCACCCGGCTCTCAGTTACAACCATGAACTTGTCCATCCTATTCTAGTTGCACAATACCCGTGAAACACCAAACCAGTGGGCTGCTTTAGTAAATTAGGAGTTACCGTTGATGTCAGTGTCTTAATTTCAAACCCCAGTGTCCTCTGCTTGTAATTTTAAAACTTTATGTGTGTACTGTGTAGAATCGGGCTTTATATGGGACACTATGCTAGTTCCTATCGAGATCTTCGCTATGATCTTGTTACAGTATCCCAAAAGTATTACGTAAATCTCATGGAGACAGAAACAGAGATCAGGAAATATAGAAGCAAGTACTACTAATTAAAAGAACATTTATTTATAAATTTAAGTCATAAAAATACATTCTATGAGATTACTCCACATTTGTATGTGCTCACTTTGGAGCATAGAGGCTACCATCAAGCAGCCGACAACTTAAATCACGTAGGAAGTCACTAACAAACTAAGGCCCAAATCCCTATTTTGGGGTGCAGCCAAAGTAAGCCGGCTGTACACTGCAGAGTTCATCAGCATCCACTGTGCGTGGATGATGTTAAGACTTCCCTGCTGGAGTACTACACGGCCATTTCTGGCTGCACCCATCCTGTGGCTGTTGTCATCTTTGTACAAGGACAAGAACAATTTTTACTGGTAATACCACTCGTGACCCACGAGTTAGTTACAATTTCATGTCCGTGTTGACAATTACACCCAAAACTTAACCTCAGTGTGTTTTGAGAAGGTAGAGATAGGTATTCAATTACATAACACAAAGAGACAAGATTCATTTACGAAATAATGATGCCTTTTTTCAGTTGAATAGTGAGCACATACATTTGTTAGTGTTTTAGTAATGAGGTACATAGCACCAAAAATAATCTGTTTCTCAGGATGTGAAATCTGTACAGCAAATGACAACTAAAGAGAAGTGAACTCTAAGAGAGAGAATGCTAGAGTAGGAATTATCCTTGCATTTCACTACTGAAATTAAATGAATGAGAAGATATACAGTGTCACTTCTAAACTCACCTGATATCCTTCCACAGATTTATCAGAAACATGGTGCCAAGAAACAGACATTTCAGAAGATGACAAAACTTTTACGCTCACATCTGTAGGTATTTCAGTTGGAGCTGGAAGACGAAACACATATTAAGGATCCAATCTCATCCACCGATACTGTTATACTTGCTTGTATTTCGTATTATTTTCTCGGTATCAGGGGGCCAAGTGTGTTAGTCCTTAATCTGTTTTTACTTCAGTAAACCTTAAATTCAGTGATGATCTGTATGGGAAGTGACTCTATAAAAACAAAGCAATGATTCTATTACTTGGCTCAGACTATGTATTTTTATGCTTCAACAGATTCCATGCTGAAATTTGTGTAAATTAGAAACAGGCTTTGATAAATAGAATGAAGCATCCAATGATCTTTTACTAAATTGGACAGCAGCTCACAGATTATGTACATCAGATTTTTTAAGCTAGCTACACACAAATATTCATGTGTATGTCACTTAGTCATTATGATACAAAGTTTTTATGAGACCAGATATTAGATATAGAGCTGGCCAGTGGCACATACAAACTTGAACACAGGTGCGAAATAGTCCAAGAACACCCTTCTATTAGGCCTACATCACAAAGTTGATTTTGTTTGTGTTCTTAGTTCTGGACACCAGCCAATGCAGAATACAGACCATTATAATGTGCTATGCTTTTATTCAGGGCTTAGAATATTAAGTCCTAGTTTAATTATAAGAAGCTGTTAATTTCACTGTCGCTTGCATTTTAAGTGAGGTAAGGAATTTAAAAAGGCATAAACTTAGCAATGTCTATAAAACAAAGTTTTCCAAGCTAAGAACAGTTCTCTGTCGTGAATCTTTTGAAACAAGTTGCAACAGACAGGCATGGCAGCCTGAGCTGAGGAAAGCTTTCATATACCTAATCTTCCAACTGGGCATCCAGTCAACTATGCATCAAAACAGCCACTGTTAAGAAAAAAACCAGTTACATCTCTCATGAAAAGTATCCTAGGTAACAAAATAATCTTATATGCAAAGTTACCTTTTGTAATTGTCTTTCAATGACTGTTAATAATGCAAATGTATAATTAAATAATGATATATTATTGCAAAATTGTTTTCACAATGACAGGAATTTAGATAAGCAAGCGGCCTGTGCACTCATTACTACCAATCATTACTCGCTACTAGCAATGGCAGATATGACTAGTAGTTGTCAGGTATGGAACTTGGCTTAAAACACGTGGGAACACAGAAATTCCCCAGTCACTAAAGTGGATAAAGATGCCCACAGTTATAACTAGACACACATAAACATATTACAAAATACACAACTTAGTGGAAATGCTGTCATTATATTTATGTATGTATGGAATATTGTACGACCATATTGCTTTAAAATCTCACTAATACCTTTGAGAAGTTGTGCTGTCTGATGGTAGTAATATCACTTGCTGATTCAGAGGTACAGAAGTACAGGTGGGATAGATGTGATCATCTAATCTATTCCCAAATCACTGTCAGATTCTTCTCCATTGTATCAATTACAGAATTTGCCAAAATGTTTCATATTGAAAAGTTCCAACTGCCAGGGATTTTGCTGATACAATACTCTAAACAATATTTCATCTGCTTATGCTTGTTTATGACCTCCAAATAATTTATATCCCTATTTGGCATTTATGTTCTCTAAATATTTTGCAGTCTCTCTTGAGCCAGAAAGATGACACCAGCTGCTTTTCTCCAGACTTCTAATTCAGTAATTCTACCAACAAAAGAAGCAATCATGCGGGCCTCACAGTACGTTTACTTCACTGAAAACACAGTGGTCATCACACAATTATCTTCTAAGCGTAACTATACAAAGTTAAGGCTGAGAGCCAGTAAGCATGCTACAAGGTACTGAGGTGACAAGTCCTGATGCCAGCAGAAAACTCTGCAGAATGTTCTTTGGAATAACTTCCATTACACCTATTGGAAAAATTCCTTCTAACCCGCCCTGAAGTTCCCGGATTTGATATGGTCAGTAGTCAGGGTCATAGCTCTGTGCAGGAGCTGTGAGCACTACTGGTAAGGTTTGGAGCACTGTGAATCTGACTGTTCTGGTGACTCTTGTGCTTGAAATCAAAGAAAAGAAGTAGGTTCACTGAGCTTCTATTCCTTTTGCTGCCTGGATCTGGCATCACTTAACCACAAGTGTTTCTACCAAGTGTCTGGACTTTGCTAAATTCTACGTTAGAACATCAGCAGCCACTGAATTGACTTCTTTATCTGGAAGCTGGCACTACTGAGTATTTGCTTTTCTTCTGTCTTTTGGAGCTGCTAGACTCTGCCATGTCTCTGAACTTAAAGAGCTATACAAACACACTCCCATCCCTGACGTGGTTAGTATAATCCTAACACAAATATGTGTGAGCTTATCAGTCAGCTGTTGATAATGTCTCTGAAAAAGGATGGATACTGAAATGTTGTTTGGCAGATATAGCTTTTATTACACCATAGCTACTTACTAACTCATTTACACAACTGCAAAAACAACCGTTCCGTTGCTGCAGCAGCTGTTGAAGATGATACCCTAAGGTATCCTTTTCTGAAAAAAAGGATTAGTATTAACCTCTTCAGACAGTTAAGTGTTGCTAGCTTGAATCCTGAACCATTGTAAGAAACAAAAGGACTATTTCATCTTTTCTCGGTGTGTGGGCAATTTGTGTGCAAAGTTCCCATTAGTGCTAACGGGAATCATGAACATAAATCTCCCATAAAGTACACGGAGTAAAGAACAGAGTCGGAAGTGTGAGAATGTGGCCTTGTTATCATACCCCTCCTCTTGGCTCTTTGGTCTGGATCTGTTGACTTTGTGAAGGAGATTCTGCTCTATGGAAAGAAAAATATGAGCAATTCTTCTTCGGGTTTCTGGCAGAAATTAATAAACCATTTTTTTTTAAAACAGACGAGTGATTATGTTGCAATTAGGTTGTTGTATATATTTCTTCTGATTTAAGGTAAACCTTCTTCTAGTGCTTTCTCTCTCCTGCTAAGTTTGGAAATGTCATTTAAACTTGAATCCTAAAGATCACAGCATGTGAAATAATTCCAGCAAGAATTAAGAAAAAGATTTTAGTGAAATGCCAAAGAGGTTTTCATTAAGTTATTCACTTGATAGCTCTAACATCGAAACCAGAATAAAGAATGTGGCAGGGATAATTTATATTAGACTCTAAACATGCTTGAAATATAACTAGATACAACTGAACTATCATTCCTTCACAAGTTTTGGGCTGAAATCTGATACTGATCTACTCGAATAATAGGCTTTAGTGTGGTCTGTTAAGAAGAAAAAACCCATACATATGTCAAATACATGTATTAAGATCACAGAGACATTGCTGGATAACGATGTAAATGTTTTAGGTAAGAAATATGAAGATCAGAATGTCTTTTTTTTTTAAAACTCTTAAATCTTTTAACAAGCTGTGTGAAAAATCTTGAATGCTTCTGTGTATTGCTCATTCAGACATCAAGTACAGCCAAGTACTCTGCTTCACATAGAAAATAAAGTCTGAAGTTGTTTATTCAGAACAATTGCAAGTGTTTTGTGTGAGCAATACACACCCTCCTTGCTGAAGGTGTATGTTGCTATATTAATCGGTGTCAAGGACCAGGTTCTCTCTACTGATGTTGCAGGTGCTGATCTGGGCCCTCAGTGTAAAACTTATCTGGAACCTTTACTCACCATCTTGTGCTGAATAAATGACAGCAGTGAGACTGAATGGTCCATCCCCTTTGTTGTTAAAAGCTTTCACTTTTACTTGATACTGGGTTGAAGGTGGCATTGATTCATCCTTGTGGACATACCGGCCAATTTCAGGATTAGTAACTGTAACTCTTCTCCATTCTTTCTCACCAAATGGCTTGAAAGCCACTATATAACCAAAGTTATTGCCATAGTGGTATTCTCTTGATAAAGGCTAAAGAGGCAAAAGATAAAACATTACTTTTTGTAGCCAACTAAACAAATGGATCTCTAATTAAATATAAATAATACAGAAAGCATCGATATGCGCATTGTAAAAACACTGAAATAAAGTTCCATTTTCTCCTGGCTTGCTTCTATGATTCCTGCCCCCCCCTTAAAAATACACCATCTTCCTTTAAAAATACACCATCTTCATTATGCAGATCTGCAGTACTAGTATATCTGCTACTAAAGCATTTTAAGATCTTGTTCCTCATCCAAACTCAGTGCAAAACACATCATGTTATCTCCTACAGAAAGAAAACAAGAATGATTGTGTACTAAAACTGTTGTCAGCTGTAGCTAGCAAAAAAGGCTTTCTTAAGGAGCAAGTGATAGGAGATATGTAACACAGACACACTATACAAGTATATGGGTCCATGTGCGTGTGTAGAGATAGATGTTCTTGCGAAACAGGGAGAAGAGAAAATTTATGTGGCTGGCCTAAATTATATTAATTTACCTAAAGTTGGTCACCTAGGCAAACTGCATAGCTGATGAAGAGAGATGGACATATTCAAAGAATGATTCCTCCTACCACTTTTCACTGATGATGGAGGGGGTCCAGTTGCTGGTTTAGACTATCTACCTAGCTTCTCACTGGTAAAAGTTTAAGTGAAACGACACCCACTTTCAGCATGAGCATTAAAGGTACCTATCCAAAATATTTCTTAAAACTATAGCTGATTTCCTATACCTAGGAATACTGGAAAATACAAAATTACAGAAGACCATCTGCTATAATGGATTTTGCTTCATTTACCAAAGCTTTACATTCAGTGATCCCTCCTCAGTCCATGGAGCCTTTACCACGAGTATTAGACAGTGCATGCAACGGCCCAAAATCATGTCATTCAACAGTGCATCTGAAGGTTGACCAGAAGCATCCTTTGAAAATAAACTTCCCGCATCACCTTTTCCCATACTGTAAACCACACAGAGATGAAACAGCTTATCTTGAGGCAATGGTCCTGGAGCAGTGCAACAGAGAGTAATTGTTCTCCTTAGGTGTTTGCCCACTACTGTAGCACTTCAGCCAACATGTGTGGAGATATTCTGAGCAAGGATTTATGAAACTTACGTGTTAACAGTGGAACAAGCCAAAAAAACCCCCTAGCTTGCAAATTTTGATGCTCATATTTGGTTGAAGCTAGAATGGAACTCCAAAGATTCTCTGAGAAAGAAAATTCTGGTGAAAACTCACCAAATTTTTGGAACAACTGAAACATTTAAGTTTTGACTTCAGAAACATAACACATGGATTAGAACACTAGTATACATAATACAAAAGAAAAAAATTAAGGCAAACACAGATGTCAAAACTCAGAATTTGAAAAATGTCTGATAAGGACGTATGAACAATGATGGAACTTCTTTTCTTCATGACAAAGCTTCCAAGAGAAATGTACAGAATCAGACCAGAGGCTTGGACTTCTGACTTTACTCAGCTTAAGGTTAACTGACCCCTGCCCTGGGTGTGCCAGCTATCAGATCCCATTGCATGCCATTTTCTCTGTTGCTGCTGTAAAGTTTCACCACTCTGCAACATCAGTGCTAAAGTCACAAGAATAACAATACAGCAATATTAAAAGCAGGCAGCCTTCAGCTGGCTGAGGACAGAAAGCTGGTTCTAGATGAAGCTCCCTTAGACACCAGTGCTTCAGCATGGGACCATCACTGGATACAGGCAGGGGATATTTGGTCTCTAGTTGTGACATTAACCACAAGCCACCAGGCAAAGACTCTATGTAGAAATCAGCTATGAAAATAAAAAAACCCAACTAGATAATATATTTTATGTGCTTAATTTTTTGTGTGCAGGTATATTCTGAGTGTACCTATTGGATGAGGCATAACTCATGTCAGCTTATTTTCTATTTCAGGTCTGACTGGACATCAGGTGAAAATTGGATACCTAGTTTCCTGAAACAGCTAACGCACCTTCATGTACCTAAGTTTAAATTCAAAGGCAACCTTGCAATTCAAAAAGTAGAAGACTTCAGGGACTGGGTCACCTTCGATAGCTTGTCTTCTGAATCCATCATTGTATGTAGCTGCTTAAAATAAACCAGAATCGTATCTCATATGACAAAGTAAGCCGCCTGGATGCAGCCCTAGTCTCAGAATGATTTTCAGCCAGAGCAAACTTTAGAAAGCCAGGACTGGCATTTAAAAATTATATTCTGGAAGGTCTTAAATAAAATGTTAAAAGCAGCTTGCCCTCCAATGGCTGCACATAACAAGTAGGTATAAGTAGCTGAATAGTTTGTAGTATCCACTAAAAACTTTGAAAAAGAAAATGGAAGAGGGAAAGACAAATGGTGAAAAATGAGGAAGAATGGGCATGCCACTCCTAGCTCTCTTTCTCAGTTCTTTCAAAACAAGACTCAGAAGAGCTTTGATTGCATCTCTGGCTGTCTCATTCAACCTGGGCTTATGAATCATAGCAAAAGCTGAAAGGGGGTTGGCAGCAACATGTGAACCTGCCATACATTTTGTTCTTCTCTTCTTAATTAAAGACTATTTTGAGTAGCATATGCAAATGTCAGCACATTTGGGGGAATCAATATACACCTTTATCTTAGCCTTACAGATAGATATATTGTTGTCTGTCAGACAGGCTCCGTAAATCTAATGCCTCTTTTCAAAAGCGCTTGCTAGACATAGTAGTGGAAAATTCTTGGGAAGTAAATATTTGAAGCCATGCTTAATTTGTCTGACTAAATGAGCTGCTCTTTACAGAACAGATGTAAAAAGCATGACATTAGGTAAGAGAAATAATTGGAATATAAATCTACCTGGGCATATAGGAAAGACTGAAATGATCTTGTACTTCAGATCTTGCATTAGTCACTATTCTCCTGGTCACAATTTTCTTTTTTTCATTTGGTCACAGCCAAGTTTTCACTGTATTGAAAATGCCACGAGTATGGGTCTTTACATGCCATGCAAGAAGTAGCTCTGCAGTTTGTTAAAGTTTTTATAAGACAGCACTTGTGAAGAAATAATAAAATAATCTAGGTCTTGTGCAACTGTCCATTGCATGTGTTCTTATTTGACTTTTGCTCTTCAATTAGGATACATCTACTTCCTAACCTGTTGTTAGTGGAACTAAGAAATAACCTTTTCAATATATTTTAACAGAAGTGTAGATCTTCCTTTTTCAGAAACTTACAAATTTTTTCTTTAGGTAAATTCATTGCTAAAATACTTAGGAAGACTGAATAAATATTTTGAACTGAATTAAAAAAAAAAACCAAGAAACCAAAAACCAGGAAAGCCCAAAAGTGTTAGCCCAAACATGTGGCTGACTATTTGTGTCATACTTGAGAACTTCTCCAAAGAGGCATGATCAACCTTAAGTACAAAAAGAAGGAAACAGGCATATGAATTAAAATTTGTATGTTCATAAGGATTATCCCTATACAACAATGACAAAGTTGCTGTTGGAATTATGTCATCTTTATATTACTTCCCACAAGAGAAAGCACTCTTCATAGGGGTAAATAAGCTGCTACATCTGAAACAAATTATTCCCCAAAAGACACAAATGGCGTAATGTGCCTTATGTGCCTCATAGCCTTATGAAGGTGAACAGAGAGGTCATTAGCAAGATAAACTTGGTAATTTCTTCAAGCATAACATTTAATCATCTTTCTTTGCCAGAGGTAATGCTTCTGTAACTCTGTTTTTGCTGGATACTGATAGGCTCTGACATGAACCAGATAGGCTTTTTTTTTGCTTTATTTATCCTCCCTAGCTTTCCCAAATACCCTTCAGAAGACTTCAACTCTCTCTTCCATGCAACTTTTGCCTACACAACAACTTTGCTTATAAATTCTTATCCTCTCTTATTCTGGGCTTTGCTTTCTTCCTATCTTCTTGTCTCTTTTCCCTTCTTCCCTGTTTTCAGAACCATTTTTTTCCCCACGGTATAGGTAAATTTTAAAAACCACTGCTTCAATACCAGAATGAAGACAGCATTTATATATATAGCTATATACACAAGACTTTTTAAAGACAAAATATCATGGATTGAATACTTAGAGTACACGAGAGAGATGACATTTTCAAAAGACTTTGCTTACTGAAAAGCTTTTTTGATAACACTGTAATTTTTTGAACTTTTCATTCCATTATTTTTGTGATTAACATTTTATCTCTGTCCCTTTCCCCTTTTATTGTTTTGCTTAATATATAATCATTCAAGAAAAATTAATGGCTTGGAGGAAAAGAACAACAACATCGGTATATGGATATCAATGAATGGCTAAATTGTGGTATGAGGCAACATTGTTTTGTGTTACCAGTCACATTAGCATAAAATAAAACTTATAAAATGTCAATATACAAGAATTTCCTTAAAACTCCAGTTAATAATTATGACAGGCTAGTTTATAGAATGGCAATGTATTTTTTTTAAATAAAGCCTGTAAATCTGTGCACAGCACATTAAAGTCATAATTAAGATGTTATACTTTTAGTTGTAATAATCAAATCTGCATGCTATTCAGATTGTAACTTAAAAAAGAGCTCGAAGAAAGATACAATATGCAGAATTTTCAGATGCTGTTACATCAATGCATTATCATAGTCAGTATGTGTTTCAATCTCTTTGAATCATACTCAGAGAATGTTTTAGATCATATTTTAGAAATGTCCAATACATAAACATCTAAACTATCATCTTCCTCATTCCTTTTTACATATTTTTATGAGAAAAGTCTGAAAACCTATATATATTGTGTACAAATCATGCTCTCAGAGGAGCCAGTGACAAACCATCCATGGGTTTCAGGAGGAGCAAGATCAGACACAAGGAAGTATAGGTTTCATGCCATCTCAGTGCAATACCTACCATCCATGTTATTGTCAGCTCTCGATTGCTTCCCCCCCCTCCTCCGACATCAGAAGGAGCCACATTAGGAGCTAGAAAAATAGAACAGACAAGAAAAATTACTACAAAGTATGCAGTCAGTACTATTTACTAGTCTTTTTACCAGCAGGGCCAATGAGCACACGTGGCACACACAATTAAAACAATGATAGTCTGTAATAGCTGTGAGAGTCTGTAGTCTTGCCAAGACTAATGTACAGCTACTGCTGCAGGAAACATGCCAGTTCTAACCATAGCTAGCAACCATTTTTCTTTTCAACAATATTCTCTACAAAGATTTAATTGAATATTCAGAAACAGAACACTCCTCATAGGTCTTAAGAGAAGCACCGTATATTGTTCTTGCGCTTCCTCAGACGTTGGTATGCCAAGGGCTCAAGCACCCAGGACTTCAACGTGTATTTACCTTAATAGACTGTGATTAGTTCCATCTACTTCAATATATTTACTCACAATGTGTAATGTTAAACACATGGATATACCTTTGAAGCGTTGGCATCCTAATCCTATTCTAGATTAGTGGCACATGCCTTCTTGATTGGCATGTTCAGAATGGGTAGATGTTCAGAAGCGAAGCTGGCATAGCACTTAGTAATTTACTAATTGCATTTTACACTGATATTCTGTGTAATGAAATAAAATCTGTTGATCTATCATTAGTGCACAGCTGAGTGGTAAAGCAGGATACTCTCAAGGACTCCATTACAAATCAGTCCTGTATTCTCATTTCTATAAGACTCTTTGTGCCAGGTGTGATGATTCTATTGCTATCCTCTATGGTGTTTGTGTATTTATTTGCTGTCACTCAATACTAAGGACCCTGAAAGTACCACTGAAAACTTAGGAAATGATGGCCTACCTACAGTGCATTAAATGCATGCCCCAGGCAATCATGCATTAGCTACATGCCCTAACTACATGAACATGTTCTTTGTGTTAAAAATTATTATATGATCAGGCATTTTCTCCACTAATCAGTGAATGCACAAGATAGTAAGGGGATAGTTCCTAAGTGCTCTCCCACTATTTAAATAAGATGTTTGCTGAGGCCTTCTCTGAGGGTCAGCTGAGGAGAAACACAAAGCAAAGAAGAATTCATGTTTTCAGAAAGGATAAAAACATGTAACAATACATTTGAAACTGAAATCAGCATTCAGTGCATGGTTTGCATTATTTATTTGTGGCCTTCCAGAAAACAAATTAGTGGAGAATGAAACTAAGCATACATATCATGACAATTCAAGAGGAAGCTTGAACTTACTACTCGACCTTGTTATTACTGAAATACACAGTAGTCACACTATCTATTATAAGCATATAACTTTAGTGCTAAGTTAGAAGCAGAGGTTTGCTAGCATGGTTAAGTAGTCAAAGAAGATACACAGGCTGCCAGAGAAGAGAAAAAAGACTGTCTAATTCTTACAAATCACCTTTTTCAAGAGAATCTCCCTCATTCTCTCAACCGTTAAACCCACGTTTTTCTCTCCATTAAGACCAGGTTACTAATTTAGACAGCTACACTTAGACAATTACTCTAACGCATCCAGAAGCTAAAATACATAAAAGCAGACTTTGATTCATTGAATTTCAAGAAATCACTGTGAAATGTGTTGATGAAGCAAGCAGATTTTACTACAAAGAAAAATCATAGCACACATTCTTAGCATGCTAATAAAAATGTTACTGAAATTCCAGTTATCTACAAGAAGAGAGACTTCAAAACTGAAAAAGACACTGATAACATTTGAGTTTAACAGACATTATTTGTCACTCATACAGTACAACAAAGATGCAGCACTGTTTGTTGCTGTTTAAGACAGGACAAATGTTGAAAGTAACTACAAATTGTGGATACGGGTTGTTGTTTGCGCAATAAAATATTTACCTTCTTCAGATTTACATGAAAATGCACATGCAGTCCTGATTCTGTAGTACCCTGGAAGCTGATAGCGCAACCCAAATCCTTTTGTTGCTGCTCATAACAAATTCCAGCTCCTGGCAGGAAATGCACTTGGGCACAGAAGTTCATCTGCAAACTGTTACGGATTTATACCCTATTTTGGCATGGCAAGAAGTGCTGACTAATGCCTAGGAAGACTAAATTAACATTTTGCTTTGTTTCACCAAAAATGTCTCACAGTCTGACAGAGATGACAATGGTGCTGTGCATGGGGAATCAGACAACAGACTAAACAGACTACCTCTGGCAAAAGCATTGCATCCTGCTACAAAACTGGAGGATATGCCATTTTTTGGGACGCTACAACAAATACCATGAACATGGCACACTGCAAACGGCAGGACACTACCACTATCCCACCTGTGAGCCTTATTTCCCCTCCCTTTCTGTCTCTTTTCTGATATTTCAAAAATGTCTATTGTGCACCAGGCACGCCAAGAAGCATGTGTAGATTTCTCATTTAGATTCCTGGGCCTTCAAATACAGCTGTTGAGTCATAAAACATATGACGCTAATAGTCAATTTTATAGGCAGTAATTTCCTTTTACTTTAGTATTAAAGTTCTGTGGTTTTTCCTTCCCTGTCCAGACTAATTTAACCAATCTGTAGTTCCTTTCTCCCTAAGCAACAAAATTTTTAATGGACCAAATGTGGGTCTTCTTTAATAAATGTTTTGAAATTTGCAATGCAAATACATTTTATTTTGAAAATGCTGTCTAATCAAAGCAATGATCTAGCAGGTGTAATTGCAAAAATTAATTTTTACACTTTGGTTTTGCATTTTTAGTTTCAAATCTCAAGCTATGGGACAACAATTGTAAATATATCTAGGTTGCACATGGGTGCTAATATGTGTTAAGGAGGATATACTGGTATACAGGCTTTGTTGGATACAGTCTTTTTGCAGTGATACATTACCTCCTAGAGCACTGCACTTATCTCCTTTGTACAGTCAAACCAGAATGTATTATCTTGAATAATAACATCTAATTCCTCATTTTGGAGAGTTCATTTTAAAAAGGACACGCCTGAGCCTAAAGGATATCCTTAAATATGCTCTGAGATTTTAACACTGAGCAATTAGACTGATAAGGGCATATGTTGTGTCGGATAATGTCACATCTTTGACGTGGAATAAGAAATCGCAAGACCAAACCTTCAATCACAGAAAAATGGCATTATCCAGTGTAACACACATCCTGTCATGTATTCTTTAGTTAGAATACAAACCAAACAGCAAATGGACATTTTTCTTGTTAAACACATGCATGTTTTTTTCTAAGTCCTGTACCCTGGTCCCAAGCATGTGCGTGCATTCATACACACACAGCCTGACTGACTGATACAGTGGGGGATCTCTGAAAGATACAGTATGATTCTATTTCAGCAATGGAGGCAAATTTGTACCACGACGTTTCTTTCCTGTCTGCTTTGATGCTATCACATCTGGACAGTCCGGTATTTGCTTACTAAAATCTATAGTAGTGTGTGGCTGAAAATATACGCTCTAGACTTGCATCTTGTGAAGTGCTTTTTTTAAATAAAAAACAAAATTACAAAATTAATAAAAATGTGAAAATTAAAAAGCACATTAAAAAACTTGACATTTTCTGTTTACGTACGAGCGCCTTCAGTTCTAATTCTCTGTGACGGCATACTAGGTTCTCCTGTCCCCAAAGTGTTTGTTGCTATTATCCGGAACTCATATTCCATCCATGGAATTAAATCAATCACTGTAGCAGATTCCATATTTCCTTCAATATCTGATGGTTCTAAAAAAAAATAAGAAATTGCTTTAAAAACCAGCATTCTTACAATAAGGTCAGTCACCAATGTGGTTGATTTCAGCAAAACTACCACTATTTTGCAACCACACATAGTCAACTGAAGGAAACAGTGTTGTATATTAGGGATACCACATTTTACAGGAGTACTCACAGCAGTGACTGGGAATTTGGAAACCATGACACTATCTTGGATAAACCCTTATAGACTTGTAAGTTTTAACTGGGTGTGAACTAGCAAAAGAGGTACATGTAGTTATGAGGTATCCTTACTAATTACATATTGTAGTTGTAGAAGTTCATTTTACCTACAGACAAATGCAATGAGAAATCTGGAATGCAGAGACAGTAAAATAAAAATTCATGATATAGACAAGGGCTAGACATGTGCAAATGTAGGGTTCGATCAACTGATAAAGTGTTTTATAAAATGTGGTCATATTTTGGTGCACCTTGTTAGTGAGCATGTTACAACTTGCTATCTAGTTCTGATCCAACAAAGGTAAGTGTTCTTGTAATTCCTGTGAAAAGACTTATTATTGTCATAAGGATGAGCTTCTTTACCATAAATAAAATGCATAACTCATGACTCTGTCTACAATTCACAGACAATAGGGGTTGTTTCTATAGCTGTCCGCAGTTATAGAAAGACAGAGGATTTTCATTCATTGCGTGGGCCAAGAGTTGTTCATCAAATTAGTCTTGGGTTCAGAGGGAGATGAGAAATGAGATATCCTGCACTGGGAAGGCAGCTGATTTGGAATTAAAATATGAATACAATAGCTGCAAAAAAACCCAGGCATAGCAGTGTAAGCACTGGATGGTGACACAACTTTCCTCTACCTAATGATCATCAAATTGTTCATTCCAAAGTGAGGCCCTGAAGGAGAAAGAAAAACACTTTCCATTGTCTTTCCACCTGCCCACCACCTTCCCTCATCCTTACTCAAATTATTTTTCTATCCAGTCAACAGAGCCATTGCAAACCTCCTATGGCATCCAAGCCATGATATAAGTTTGGCATTCCTTTTCCTGGGCTACTTTCAATCTCTTCATTTAATCTTACTGGGCCACAAATTCCCAGAATAATTATGAATACTCAACACGATGAGAATCTGATCCCCTTAACTGGAAAGAGCAACATAAATGTAAATAATTTATTACATAACTCATTCATACATATTTCCATACTGTGAAGTAGAATACACTTCTTTCATAAAACACACTCGATATTATGCAACCTGAGATGAATGATTTGGTTTGGGAATAATGGTAGTAGCAATAATAACAACAATATTTCCAAAGTGCAATGCCAAAGTATATATTTTTTTTCCACACATTGAAGATCGGCAGCATTAAATGATAGCCTAAACACTGATGAGAGATCAGTTTGGACTGTTCATTATGCTTCTTTCATGTGAAAGTGAACACTGAGCCAAACTGGGAGGAGCCCAGAAATTAAGTAAAAGCTTGCAGTGGTGGCAGTGATGGTTACTATGGTGATTTTACCTATTTTTTGAGGGAATCATCTATTAATCAAAATTACTCAGTGTGGTTCAAATGAAAAAGCAATGATTTTGAAAACACCAGAATAGTTCCTTTCAACTTTTCAGAAATGAGTAATTTATATCGTGCCTGCCCGCTTCTTAAAAAAGAAATTCAGCAATCTAGATTCCTCCCTGTCCCACTCAAGATGTGAATCCCACTCAACATGCTACAGCATAAGACTCAAAGTCTGACTGCATGTCTCAATGACTATCTCATTAATTCTGTGAAGCAGAACTTCAGAGATGCAGAGGAGCATATCCCATCATGCCTATAACACTGCAAATAGGGAATCTTCCTGAGAAGTAAGAGAGGTGGGTTCAAGTGTCTGCTCTGAACCAGACAGAGCAAAGATCTGAATCCAACACTTGTATCTCCTACACGTTTCTAGTTCCAGTAACACGCAGCACAAAAGGAAGCAGTATCAGAGCTGCCACCCCCTGTTTATAAATTTTTCCAGTATCTTCCTATAACCTCGTTTCTTCCTAATTCATTTTTTTTTTTTAAAGCAAAAAGAAAAAAAAAGAATAGGAAATAAGATATGATTTATCCTGAAAAAAGTGGAGGCTGGTATAAAAGGATCCTCTCTCCTGCATATATTGTTACTGAAGCAAATCATCAGTTATTTGAAAAGTTCTAATTTCTACATAAATTATTTTTTTAAAGTTCAAGGAAATCTATTCTACAGAAACTATTAAACAAGATATAAGAGATAGGAAGGGACTGGGGAACCTTCTAGGTTTATTTTCCAAGCTACTTTAAATTAAGTCATACACTAGTGCTGGCTGTTGGAGTAGGCCTAGTATTTTTAACTTTTTAGTCTAAAAATGTAACAGAGATTTTCAGGTCAATATGTCAAAGTCTATTTCTTAGACATCTATCTCTGTAGTTTCAAAGGACAATTTAAATGAAAGACAATAGCTGAAACTATTAATATTCTTAGTATTTAGAAATGCTGAGTATGTGATGCCCTAATTCCACAGAAAAGCACTTAAGTTATAATTTATTACGGTGGCATAATGAATCACATCGACAATTCTGTATAGCTTATAGCAATGCTATCCTTCATAAAGCATTCAAAGATACTAGTAGTTTAAAATATTTTCATAATTTATGCATTTATGTTAAATCTTGAAAAAAAAAATGTATTAGCATGCCCTGTATTCAGGTAGGTGCCTCCTCAACTGCAATTATGTGGCACAATGATGACATCCAGTGGTTAGAAGGATAACTTTAGCTATGTTTTCTCTAGGGGTGCCAGTTTTAACGCAACTGCAACTTAGTCTGCTCCCAGAAAAAAGCAGACAATTTTAAACAACTTTCTGCATAACAAATACAGAAATGAAGACGCCCGTTTGTCATCCAAATTAACATGTAAAAAAATTTTTACGATTCTAGTAGTTGATATGGAATGTTTCAAGCAACAAGGAAAGAGGCAAAAACCAGGTAAAAACTCTGGCCTGTTCTTTTCTGTATTTCTTGATATTCAGTTCAGGCCCTCCAAGTGCTAGGAACAAACCTGTTGACAACACACTGACAAGATGGTACCTGCCTTCAAACCTTGTAGCAGACATTAATAGCATCCCTGGTTTCCTTTTATTGTGACTATTTTCTGATTAGCCGAGTTTTCTAATAATCAAACACTTTAAGACCTATTGACCTTATTACTTCTGGCATTACTCTTACCTGTTTTGGCATCTTTCCACTCTTCAGATAGAAAGGTTTTTGACTGGATAGTGTATTTAGAAATGGGGCTATGATTGTCTGTTCCACGACTCCAGGTAAGTGCTACAGCAGTGTCTCTAATTTCTTCTACTCTTATACCTCCGGGAGGGCCTGGAGGACCTGAGAAAAAAACATTGGCAATTCAATTCACAAATTAAATATTCTAAAAATGAAAGTTCACTAACTTTCCTACTTGTATTTATCAGATACAAGGCTTTCGAGTCTCACTTTCTACTTAAGAACACATTGAAAATGTATATATACATTTTAATAGGTTGCAGAGTGATTCAGAGGATAAATGCTTTTGCATCTAACAACTACCAAATGAAACTTCCATGACTCCTGCCTAAGTAGTAATATTGTGATTTTCTTAAGTAAAAACCCAATACTTTGAAACTGTTGCTACTCTTTTTTTCAAACAACAGTGAACTCAAGAGTCAGAAAAATACACAGAATCTTCCTTCCTAAATTCCACCTAATGATGACCTTATTGGTGGCCCATCTTTCATCTACACTTCTGCTTGTGCCATATTGGCCTTGACTACAATTTATATGGAAAATCTTGTACTTGTATTGGAGAAAAATCGTATCTTGAAAGACATTTCTGTAGACCTCTTCACATTTCTCTTGGCCTTCATATTAACCCAATATGGTAAACCCATCATTGGATTAAAACTTCCTACAGACTAATATAACTTGCGTGAAAGCAGAACTAGGCAACATTTCTCTGCAGTTCTACAAAAGCCTTCCCACAACAAGAATTTAATAAATCCATGCCAAAATGTGGAATCCACTACACCCACTGAACTAAAAGCAGTTTGCGAACTACATAGGTGAAATCAAACAACCTCTGTGCACCAGAATAACCCCACAAAAACCACCAACAAGGAACAGAAGCACTAAGTTGCCAAAGGGAACACATTTTTCACAAAACAGCCATTCCATCTCTGCCCTTTCAGTCTCGAACATCAAGAAGGACCTATAAAATAATTTCTAAAGAGTATTTTCTTTTTCTTCAAGAGGCAGATACTTGCAAAGATTAATTTCAAAATTCATAGCGCTAGTGAATATAAAAAGTCGTGAACTAAATACAGATGTTGGCTTGATGGCACATTATTATGCTACCAACACTTAGCTAAATCGTTACAGGTAGAAGTTGCTTGTCCTAAGCTAGTCTCATCTCTATGCTTTTCAAGTATTAAATACTATTTCTGCTCAAACCAACTACTTAAAATAGCTATGTTAAAATAACAGCAACTATTCTCAATCCGTATTTGGCTTTAAGTTTGTTATTTGTACTTCAGATCTGAAAAGATAGACTTGTTCCTAAAACTTGCCTGTTTTTTCCAGGTGTATCACTAAACCTAATAAATGGTATTACATCTCTTCACCAAATCTCACCTGGTTTATTTCTGAACAATAATAACACACAAAAACTGCTGGAGTGAATGCTTGTATTTTTCTAAATGCATTTTCTAAATTTTAAAATTTTTCTTCTAATTACTACTACACCCACACCTCCACTTTATGTGAGTAACTTTTTTATTGTTGCTGTGCTGTGCTTTAGTCCCCAGAAGAGAGGCTAAAATGTGCAGATCAACAGGCACAGGTGACTTTTTCATAGACTAGAAAGCTAAAAAGAGAGTGATGCAGGTGCACACGTGTGAGTATAGGAATCTTCATCTGTAAAAGACACCACAAAATTCTGTAAGCTGTGCTAAAAAAATCTCAAACTTAGAGTAATTCTGTAACCCAAAGCTTAGTACCTACTTACAAACTTGGCCTATAGATATTTTCAGATAATTCTTTTCATATTGACTGTTCCAGTTTTGTTATTATGCTATGTTTTATATGATACACAGTTATGTGATATATATTAACTAATGTGTAAAAACAGAGACAATGCATTAGAAATATTGAGAAGTATTTTCTGATTCCACATTCAGACATAATAATATGCCAACATGATTCAGGTAATTATCCAATAATCTGATTGAACAAGTCCCAGAGCATACGAAAAAACCAACAAGAAGTAACAGGATATATTTCTCTGCAGTATTTACAGAGGAACCAAAACCAAAACAAAACCAACTCAACAGAAAGAATGGAATGAGATTTCTACATCAGATCTAAACACACAGTGTGCCAAATATGTCTTCAGCTCTTGAGCTCTTTATTTTCTCCATAAATCTGAGAAAAGGAACCAAATGAAACAAACTGAATCGAAGAAATATACTACCATACTTTATTGTTTGTCTGTTTCAATGAATTTATCCTTCTAACAAGCAAGCAATTCCATTCCCGAGTCCAAAAGTATTCAAGTTTAGACTGGTTCCTCAAAGAATATATATGCCATAAAAAGAAATAAGCGTGACCACTCTACACAATCTTTTGGGCTATGGCCTATGACTTTGACAATCAAATTCCTGATTGTTTCTTCTCCTAAGATCCAGGAATAGTTCCCATTTAGTATCCTTGGAAAAATGTATGTCAGTTGACTACTGGATTGCTCATAACCAACTTCTATTAAAGTTCAAATACCCAGAGAAAATTAAATACAGAAATACTGAAGTCCACAACATCCCCAAATGACAGAAATTCAGAATCAAGGCACAAGCTATACTTCAGCTGCTATTCAGCTCTACAGTGTAACTGGAATGTGGGGCAAAACATGACAGCAATGTGGCTCCAAATACAAGTTATGTCTGCTTTGAATTGTCAGCATTACAGCTCATTACAGAGCATTAGCACTCCAGAACATGTTATACCTGGAGGCGCAAAACAGAGTAAAATGCCCAAAGGACATGAATTATCTCACGCTATTGAAACCACGCATTGTAACAGATCTTGTAGGATACGTACTATATGAGCAAGCACAGTGTTTTGAGACCGCAGTAATACTTAACAGACATGAATCAGTCAACAATGGAGTGATAACCTTAACCCAAATGTCCTGGCTTCTGTAATTTTAAACCTATAATCCTAGCCTAGTATTATACACAATAATTTAATACATAAAGCTTTATGAGAAAATAGAAGTGACTTCTTAAAAATGTTATACAGTGGATACATTGAAATGATACTTAAAATCTATTTTTAATAATGAACACCAAATTAAACTGTCTAAAAATTACTTTAACATAAGGAAAACACGCACTCAGTTAGACCTCTAAATGTCTGGAATAGAATCAGTACCCTGAGTAGACTTCAAGGATTTTGCACGGTTGTGCACTTCTCATTTTGATTTCTGTCATTTCTTGATGAGAAATAACATATGCTAAACAATCAGAAACACTCTGCTTGTCTAGGTGAAAACCAGCCACATTTCTGTTTTACCTGCAGAACCTTACCTCTTACCACAAGGTCAGCCGAAGCCGAGGAGTTGTCAACAATCGTCTGAGCAGTGCACATGTACCTCCCAGCATGCCGCAGCTGAACGTTTTTAATAAGCAGCTCACCGTTGGATTTAATCTGTTACAAAAATAGCAGGTAGTGAAGCTGGTAAACATCTCTGTGCAGCTGTGTGATACCCGTCTACACATCCCTCCCAACTGATAGACAGTGGCTGCTATTTCCAAAGAGCAAGTGCTTCCTTCGAGCATGAATCACCCTCAAAGATACATCTGATTTATATGACAGCTGTTGAAAGTGTCCTGTGTTTCCTGAAGAGATGCTGCTCTTTACCAGACATGAAAAAAACAGACGTCTTAGTAAATGTATTTTTCACAAGGCAATATTACCCTTTTACTATTTCAAGCCCATAGCTGAACATTAAATTTAGTCAAGAATTTTTTCATGAAGAGCAGCAGTCAGATGATTCCTCCGTACCATTACTTGCTTTTTTTACGCACATTTGTATGAGAACACGTCATGGAGTCCTACTAACAGAGCAGGATACTGTTTGGCTCTTCCTCTACAAGCCTAAAGCAGTACAAATGTTTTTATCGCAGAGAGGCTACAATCACGGCCTAAATAAAGATGCACCAAAGAGATACTAAAATGCAGCAACTGTGAAGAAACAATTATGTTCAACACGTGTCACAGCTCCTTAGAAAGGCCAGCCCCCGTTCCGCCCAGTGGTGTTGGCGATGGACAGGAGGATGGCAGTAGCCATAACCCCTGCGGCAGGAGCTGGGCCGCCGGGCCTCTGGGATGGCTCTGAGACAGCGCAGCCCAGGGGAGCCCCGGCCTTCGGGGACCCAGGATGGGGCACACACAGACAGCGCTGCAGTGAGGCCTCAGCCAGGGCCAGCCCCCTGCCGCGGGAGCTGCTGTTGAGCTGAAACACTGCCTTTCTGGCCCCGCAAGAACGACAGCTCCTGTCATGGCACCGCCCAGCCTGACCGTGGGCCCCGCTGGTCCTGACCTGCTGGGCGGCCAGCTAACTTCCCAGCCCGACGGTGACCCGGCCTCCTCATGATGGACCTGCCCAGCCACCCTTGGGCCGTGCCCGGCCCTGGCTGCCACCACCGGACCTGCCCTGCTCCCCTCCCTTGAGCCCTGAGGGATGGGGCCTTTGCTGGCGAGGCCCCTGCCCTGCCGGCCATGCTATCCCCCCGGCTCAGCTCTCGCTGCTCCCTGGCAAACGGCAGCAGGACCTCCAGGGAAGCAAATTACCGTTCAACGAGGCTCATACACTCATCATCATCATCACAGACCCTAATCTTTCCTCAACACTCTTCACCAATGCTAGACTATTGGGAAAAAATACAGCTATGTTTTCAGACAGCTATAAGGTCCACTATCTGCTGCTACCTGTGATTGTACAGATAGGCAAACTGAATAAAGTATTTTTGTCCTATGACACTTCTGTGAACCCACTGAGTAACTAGATGTGCACCTGTAAAACAAGGAGTAGAACAGAGACCACTATATAGACCAGAGGTATTCTTAATGAAAAACATATTTTATGTTAAGACATTTAAATAAATGTTTAAAAATAACACACTTGAAATATTTTGCTTATCTATCCTGCATTTTATTCCAGAAAAAGATTACTAGATTAAATCACAGGGTTATACATGTGTTAGTCTTAAAGGTATTTCAGGAAAAACCGAAACGTTCTCTCCAAAATATATCTGATTGCTTTCATGGAAATCAAAATGTTACAAAAGATTAACAGATGGATTTATACCACACTATACCGAAAGGGGCAACATTAAGGTTTCCCAATTCACTGCAGATCGTTCAGAAATACAATTTTTTTAAAAAAACAAACACTGACATAACTCACTGCAATCCTGAAACCTTCACATGCAGGAATAAAAGGAATTCAGATGCAAAATGATATGTAAAAGAGAAATTGCTAAATATTTAGGTGTAAGAACTAGTGCTATCATCATGGAAGGTTCTAGGGAACAACAGAGACCTTCAATACAATCTCGAATATTATGGGCTGCCATTAGCGTCTCTGCATTTAGACATTCTGAAGAAATGAAATAAATCTATGTCATCCAGTTTATGTTGCCTGGTTGAAAAGGAGGGGGGAAGAAGTAAGGTTAAATCTTTTCCAAATGTTCTGAAACTAGAATGCCAGTTTAGAGTCTATATTTAGGGGAGATTAAAATAGCCAGATAAAACTATCCTTTTCCTTTCCAAACTCCAGCGAAGATTTTGGATGCCAGTTTCAAATTCTGCTGGCATAAAATTTCAGCACAAACTGAAATCTGTTAACATCAATTTTCTTGGTCCAGCATAAGAATTCACATCTTTAAGAAATTACTGAGGTAAACCGGTGATTGGATAAAAGGAGACTCAAGCACACATGAAAGAAACTGCTTAATTCTGTCTAGCAATACTTCAGCTGATTGCCTCATAGGGTCAGAGAGAAATGCAGGTTATACTGTAGCTTTTCAATTTTTGAGTGTCACAAGTGCTGTTAGCAATGGTCAAACAGATTAGTTGGATCAGTGAACAATCCAATGTTCTTGGTATATTTCTGACCATTTCTCTTTTAGTTATTATTAAACTATGTCCGTGTGTGTGTGTGTGTGTGTGTATATATTTTCACACTTTTCACTCAAGACTAATATGACAAGGCTTGTAATTTAATTTGCCAAAGTGCATGCAGGATACAGAGATGAGGTGAGTCTGGGACAGTGGCATTTCTGTGCCGGTGCCCCCCCGCGGCCCCCCCCCCCCCCAGGTTTATTCATGAGAACTCCAGGGGGACTGCCTTCAAGGACAGCATCCTTTGAAAATCCGTGGGGATTACTGCATAAGCGAACACTGGCTGGCTGCCTGCCTAACCACATGTAAGCCTTTTTTGTCTACAGTGGGCTAAGCAAAGCTGTCAACGGCTTTCAGGAAGGAAAATCAGTGGGACTGTCAGTACTTCTATGGGAGCAGAGAGGGCGGCTACTTGCTCCTCTGCCCTCCAAAAAATTACAACACGCAGACATTCAAACTCCTTGAGTTTTTAGTTCCTGTTTTTTTTTCATTTTGTTCTTATTGGTTTTGGTTTTAATAAAAGAGACAATCAGTTCTCTATTTGAGTGCTGTGTACAAACCTTCAGTTTATTAACACTAAATGTCATCCTAGAAAGAACCACACTGCCTGTGAATCTCTGATCATTGCTTGCACTTTGATCTGCAAATAAACATAAGCAAAGGTTGGGCAAAGCAATAAGGTTTAGAAAAACTGCATAAACTTAGAATTCTCATAATCATATTATTACTTCAATAAAAAATGATTACAAATTCTTAATAGTCTTAGTACTCATTAATTCCCATGTTAGCACTCTAATTAAAATACTTTATTGTATTTATTAATTATATGCCCATATACTTGCTCTAACATTAATCTCCTGTATGGGAACTTGGTCTTAAAATCTAAATGATGAAAAACAGATGGGAAAATGTAACATAATTTAAAAATCAACAACCCATAGATATCGTATTGTGTCTTGTTGATTCAGAAGGTCTCCTGGAGCAAGGTTTTATGCAGTGGGTGATGAGGCTTTCCATACCTCAGAAGAAGCCTAAGTTCTTGGTGGTAAAAGAAAAGCTTACAAAGCAAATAAAGAGCATGGGCATCAGCAAATTCAGTCCACAAATTAGATATGAATGCACTGTATGTTTTCATTCAAAAACCTCAGCTTGGCTAAGTTTAAAAATGCCTTCCTTAACTCAGAGAAAACTGAATCACAGACTGGAAATAGTGATAGCAGTGCTCAGGGATGTTCCAAGGGTATCTGTGGTTCACCACTCAGTTATTTACCAAGTTTCAAGCAAAGACTTTCATCATATGAGCCCTTTATTTATGCCTTAACAGTGATGTCAAAAATAGCATTGTATGACCTATTTCTGAGATTCACTGTTCTCTTTTGACTATCACCTTTGCCAGTGCACTAAATTACTGAAAGCCATCAGAATGTGCCCCTGTGTGATCAAAAATCATTTACAGGAATCTAGTGTTTTGATTGAAAGCAGTATCTGCCTCTGTTGGGACCTCAGAGACAATAAAGGAACTTCTGTTAGTATGAAGCTAACAAGCCCTTTATAATAGTAAAACTAACTTGGCAGAAATAGAAGAACCTGGTAAGCAGAGACAAGTCTTTTTTTTTTAATTCAGGTTCAAAAACTAGACATCAGAGCTTCAGAGGTGTTTAATACACAGTGGAGGTAAGATAAGAGAATCGATAAGAAGAAATGTGGAAGAGATGGGATTCTTGCTGATGAGATCAGCTTTTCCGAAGCTAGCAATAATTTGAAACATCTTTTTCTATTACCTGTACCTAAAATTATTAACTCTAAGTGAGTTCACATGAACTGTTTTGTTCCTGCCAGTAGATCTGCTATGTGGTAGATACAAGTAGAACAGGCAATCCAACAGCTGTTGATGAATGTTAATGTAAATGTGATTATAGCTATTTTCCTGATATTGAGATCAGAGATGACATGGGGACACCACCACCAGTACAGCTCTATTGTCTCAATCCTATTCACAGGAGAGCTTATCTCACTTTGTTTTATAAGCCATGGCTGGCATGGAAGTTACGGGTAAATAAAAAACCCAGCAGGATAATGATGACAGAGTCATTCCCACTGAAGAATCTTTTCCTTCAATGAACTATATTTATATGTAAAGGAAGTACAGTGCTAATTCTACCTCTGAAATGTGGACTGGGAAATATTTCTAACAAATATATTATTCTTCCCCATGCAGCATACCGCTGAGAATGCCTGAGGACACTGTGCTTTGTACCAGCATCCCTGTGGTAATATGCCCTGTTATTTCATTTCCAGCAGCAGAAAAAGCCTAGGTACTTGTTCACTTATACTCATGGCTCACAACTTTACAGCTGATGATGAAAAATCACAATACACTGCAAACTACATTTCTCTGAGTAGTGCTCACACCTGGCTTTCTCAGCTCTTGCTACCTAACTAGGGATGGTACGTGGATTTTGGTAGTTTGTGAAGTCTCACAAGCACATAAAGTTACAGTCAACTGATTTTGCAGTGCATTT